AAGCGGGCCTGGCCTAGGGAGGATTTTTAAACTGGGTTTTTTAGAAATTTTAATTATCACAACATAAAAATTTTGGTTTTAATTTGGTTTTATTCGGTGGGGTGTGTGGGTCTTTCTTTGTTTTAATAATGTTGTGAGCCGCCCTGAGTCCTTCGGGAGAAGGGCGGGATATAAATTGAAATAATAAATAATAATAAATGTGCGGGGAAAGCTGCTTTCAGCAATCAAACCAACTTCCTGGGTCCCAGAGAGGCAGCAGAAGCAGAAAAAGCTCTCCAGGCAAATGTATTTCAGCGGATACATCATCATTTGACTGTCTTTGAGATGGGTCTTGTGGGCCCAGTCTTTCCCACACTGAGGGGGCAAAAAGAAAAAGTCCTCTGGCTCAGGGGTCCCCAGTCCCTGGGCCACAGCCTAGTATTAGGCCACAGCCCATTCACAACTGGGCTGCACAAGTGAGTCTGCGTGCACAGCTCCATTTGCATGAGCGGTGGTCAGAAACAACCCCCCCCCCCCCAGGCTGGTCTGCAAAGCCGGAAAGGTTGGGGACCACTGCTCTTGCTAGCTTAAGATTTTGCTCCAACCTGAGTTGTGCAAGCAGAAGATTATTTCGAAGTCTGTCAATGGATTTTAAGAAAGATCTTCTGGTTTCCTTTTCAGAGTGTTCAAATAAAAGCGAATTATGTAGATGGGGTTATTGCAATCAAGGTTTGCTTTGGAGGGTTAGTGTGTCTCTTTGAATCAGACTTGACATCTGGCAACTACCAGTTTCCATGGCAAGATTTTCTTCCTGGAATAGAGGGAAGGTCTGGCCCAGAGACACGCAGCTGGCTGCTTCCACCTTAGGCAGGACTAGAACTCACAGCCTTCTGGTCTCCTGCCGTATCAACTGGCTCTCCAAGTTACACTGGAAGGGAACAAACCATTTTTAACAAGATTTTTTTAGTTTCTTCGGGATTTTTATGGTTGTTGGGAACAGAGTAATAAGCAAAATATTCTTTGACTTGCCCTCTACTGCACTAGGAGCACGTTGAGAGTGCAGGATGTTTTCTGCAGTTTGAAAGTTCACATTTCTGACCCCCAACCATCCTTTGATAATAATGATAATGATGATAAAGTTGGAAGGGACCTTGGAGGTCATCTAGTCCAACCCCCTGCTCAGGCAGGAAACCCTATACCATTTCGGACAAATGGCTGTCCAGTTTCTTCTTAAAAACCTCCAGTGTTGGCGCATTCACCGCTTCTGGAGGCAGGTTGTTCCACTGGTTAATTGTTCTAACTGTCAGGAAGTTTCTCCTTAGTTCTAGGTTGCTTCTCTCTTTGGTTAGCTTCCACCCGTTGCTTCTTGTCCTGCCTTCAGGTGCTTTGGAGAATAGCTTGACTCCCTCTTCTTTGTGGCAGCCCCTGAGATATTGGAACACTGCTATCATGTCCCCCCTCGTCCTTCTCTTTGTTAAACTAGACATACCCAATTCCAGCAACCGTTCCTTATATGTTTTAGCCTCCAGTCCCCTAATCATCTTTGTTGCTCTTCTGACTTACAGCCCCTGGCTCCACCTGGCAGCCTGTTTAGGTTTGCAGATTCTGCATACACCCACCCCCCCAGCTTGCTAGCTGGGTGTCCAATGTTGGGGACACCCAGCCCTGGTCGACAGTCAAGAGCACTGGCCTGTCGCTTTCAAATGACCACTGAGATGCTCAGTTTTTAAACTGAATATTCAGAAATTTACCAAATTGAAGGCCACAGCACAGCTTTTTCCATGGAAGAAGGAAATTGCTCTCCCTTCATCCCGTCTGTCTGCTCCTGCTCCACTAGGCTAGCCAGGCAGTTGCTGGAGAAAGGAAAGCTGCCAAAGCTGGACTCCAGGAGCAGGAAGACTCCTTTTATAACCCCCCTCCTGCCAAGGCCTTCTTGTGGGTCCCAAGTGTGGGTGGGTGGGGTTCTTTGCACTCCAAAGCCAGCCTCCATGGTCTATTGCCTGCTGATGTTCCTCGGTAGGGCCTTTGATTCTTAACAGTTTGCTTCCTCCTTATCCCTTTTAATAGGGATCTCATTGAGACTCCTGGCACTTGTCCTCTCTGCTTGATTCATTTTTAGGCTACGGCCACAGTTGTTCCTTTTTCAACCTTCATAGAACACAGAATAATAGAGTTAGAAGAGATCTCGGAGGCCTTCTAGTCCAACCCCCTGCTCGAGCTGGAGACTCATTACTATTTCAGACAAACGTTTATCCAGTCTCTTTTTGAAAACCTCCAGTGATGGGGCACCCACAACTTCTGACAGCAAGCTGTTCCATCGGTTAATTGTTCAGTTAGGAAATTTCTTTTTAGTTCTAGGTTGCTTCTCTCCTTGGTTAGTTTCCATCCATTGTTTCTTGTCTTGCCTTCATAGTGAGACAAGTAGGGGGAGAAGCTTTGGGCTGCCACTTCTCCAGGTGCAAGAAGTTCTGCCCCCCCCTTTCCAGAGGGCATTGAAGGGCAATACCTCAAAACATATAAAGTGGCAGTTTAGGCTGCCCAATACAGGTGGCTTCTTCTGTTAGCCCCCAATAAACTGTAGAGCCTGGGGCCAACCATTTCCCCACAGAGAGAAGTGGTAGCAATGCCCTCGGAGCTTATCTGGGAAATCAGTATAGCTTAAGCTGTCTCTCTGTCTGGGTCTAGGGCCATTTTTAGCTCTGGCTTAGTACCTCTATGCTAAGAGAACAAGAAAGACCTGGCCAGTTCTTGCCAGTTGGCATCCAAGAACTCCAGGGAGGTCATTTTGATACCAGCTCGCCAAATCCTCCATCTTCTTTCTGGGGACTTTTGCCAATAAAGATCAGAAGAATGCAGGCATTTTAATTCTAGATGTTTATTACTTACTCTTTTTGTGGACAAAGCAACAGAAACAAAATGAAGTTCATTTAAACAACTCTTTTTGGCTTTTCACACAGAATATTTAAGTTGGTATCTTTGAACCCATTTTCTAGGTTTTCAAAATACATAAATGAACCAAGTAGATGTTTTTGCAGAACGAACACGTCATGAAAAATTAAATAAGGCTCAGAACTAGCCAAGGTTAGCAGATTGCAAAAATGTAACCCCAGTCTGATACTAACCTAAAGAAATAGTTATGGGAAGCCTGCTTTGAAATACTGTTTCTTTGACTATGCAGCTAATTTTGTTGACATTAAGGATTCCCTTCCATTTGCAGTTGATTTTCATTTATTCAGAACTAACCAAGAATGATAAGAAAAGCCAAAAGTGGATGTGTAAAGTTACAAATGCTGAGCTGGCTTGGTCTATTGCAATGGTGTCGAACCTATGGCACGTGTGCCAGAGGCGGCACTCGGAGCCCTCTCTGTGGGCACGCGCGCCGTTGTCCCAGCCCTGCCTCCCCCGTGGCCCCCTCCTCACCAGTAGCCCCCCCGGAGGAGAATCGCCCCTAGGCGCGGCTCGCACACAGCCAAGCATATGCAGCAGGGACAAGACTCCGCCCTTGTGCCCTGTCGCGTGCAGATGATGCTGCAGGGCGCGGGCGGAAGGTGTGGCCACCATGGTGCTGCAGGGCCACTGGGCGATCTGTGGCAGGCCATGAAGGCGGCGGGTGGCCCTGCGAGGTGGGGTGGGCGGGGCCGGGCAGGCTGGGGTGGAGCAGCAGGGCGGTTTTGGGCACTCGGTCTCTAAAAGGTTCGCCATCACTGGTCTATTGCTATCTGATTTTCCCACTGGAGCCAATTCAACTCTCCTTCTGTTCCCACAACTGCAGCGCTCCCTAGAGGATGAAGTGAGCAGAACCACGTGGGAAGACCTCCCCATCTTTGCTGTCAGCTACCTGGTGATCTTCATATACATCACGGTGGCCCTCGGAGAATACTCCAGCTGCAGGAACATCTTGGTAGGATGGAAAGACAGACAGACAGGAACGCATGTACACAGGCACGCACGCACGCGCGCGCGCACACACACACACACACTGGATCCTGCTATTTCTAAATGATTTGATTAAGGAGACAGCTGCTGCCTGTGCCCCAGTCACCTCCATTTGTTGTTAGCTGTCCCATTTCAGTGTGATTTCCATCATGGGCCAGTGCAAGTCTGGGGGTACAAACAACTGACTGGGCCAGAGTTCACAATTGTCCTGGGGCTGGTTTCCTCTGACTGTAATGGAATGTGTGTGGATGACCTTCGAGGAAGAGAAAGGAAAGAGATGCTGTCCAGGGAACAATCAGCAAGAGACGGAGGAGCCCCTAGTGGCTTAACAGTCAGAGGAAGAAACTTAGGAAAGACCCACCTAATGGATCAAGTGGCTAAAAGTGGAGGCAGGAAGTCTTTCAGACTTGCAAGATTCTGTTAAAGTAGCCTTAGGATAAAGCAGAATTCGCCTATGTAGTCAGTTTCCTGCCTGGTTTACCCAGGCAGGCTGAAAAGGGGTTTCTCCCTGACCCCAAGGGAGGGGAGGTTTCGGCTACTGTGTTGCTCCCCTAATTTGTGGGGACCCCTCGGGCATTTCCCTCCTCAGTGCCCACTTATGCTCCCCGGGCCATTCAGGGGGAGGAGAAGGTGGGCCTGGATCCCTGCTGGGGCTGGGGCTTTACCTCACCCTCTTCTTTTCAGGTGGACGCCAAGGTGACCCTTGCTCTGGGAGGCATTGTGGTGGTGCTGGGGGCTGTGCTGTCATCTCTGGGCTTCTACAGCTTTGTAGGGCTGCCCTCGTCCCTCATCATTATCGAAGTGGTGCCCTTTCTGGTGTTGGCGGTTGGTGCTGATAATATCTTCATCTTTGTGTTGGGACACCAGGTGCGAGTGCCTCCCCATCCCCCAGGATGGGGGGTTTGTCCAAAACAAGCTAAAGCTCCCATTTTGAATTGGGGTGTGGAGGAGAAATGGAGCAAGGCCACTCTTGTTGGACTGGACTGAATCTGGGTATGTGTTGCCCAGCTGAGACTGGAGTGGCCGCTCAGGCAGTCTTTCTGCTGTGGCCGGCCCCATCTCACCCCCCTTCCCCTGCCATTGCAGCAATCCCAGCCAGCGGCTGGGGAGACCCCGGAGCAGCATCTTGGGCGCACTTTGGGCAAGGTTGCCCCCAGCATGCTCCTGTGCAGCCTCTCTGAAGTCGTCTGCTTCTTCCTGGGTAAGTGAAGCCGGAGGAAGATCAGGCAGCTCTCCCCACATCCTGACCCAGAGATTCTATTTTCCCTTGATAGCTAATGACCCCCTGGTGGCCTTGACCAGCTTTTTTTGGGGGGGAGACACTGCAGGTAAAGTGGATGGAGCGTTGGGAGGATGCTCTCTGTGGCATGTGAATGCAATTCTTAAAAATGTGTATTTCAGCATATTAGGTTAACTCAGGAAATAGGGTACTATTATAGGCTGAAAAAAATCAGTAGCCAAATTATGCAAACTCAGCCAGATTGAAGATAAGTTGTTGTTGTTGTCAGCTGCTAAGTTGTGTCCAATTCTTTGCAACCCCAAAGACATCCCAGGCCCTCCTGTCTCCTAGAGTCTGTCCAGGTTCATGCTCATTGTGTTGAAGATAACTAGGTAAAACTAAATGTCCTGAACGCTGGGGCCTCCTCATCTGACCTGAGCCCCACATGTGATCCCTTCCATTGTATCCCTTTCTCTGGCTTTCCAGGGGCCCTGACCCCCATGCCTGCGGTCCAGACTTTTGCCCTCTCCGCAGCCCTGGCAGTCTTCTTCGTCTTCCTGCTCCAGATGTCACTCTTTGTGGCGTTGATGTCCCTCGATATCCGCAGACAGAAGGTCGGGTCGATTGCAGGGCGTGGGGGTGGGCTGAGCTGCTCCTGGGGGTGTCTCTCCCGCGGAGCCAGCTATGAGCTCTCCATCCTTCTGCCCATAGGCCTCTCGGGCCGATCTCTGCTGCTGCCTCCGCCTGGCTGAGTGCGACTCCGTGAAGCCACACGAGGGGCTCCTCCGCACATTCATGCGCAAGATCTACACGCCAGCCTTGCTCGGCAGCAGCATGGTCCGGGCTCTGGTGGTGAGTGCCCTGCCTGGGTGGGATGGCTTGGAAGGGGGCCTCGGGGTGTGAGCAGAACGGGGAGCCACCTCCCAGCTTTCCTTCTGGCACTTTCTCCCCTCTCTAGGTGCTGCTCTTTGCCCTGCTTTTCTGTGCTGGCATCTACCTGACATTCCACATCGATGTGGGGTTGGAGCAAGAACTGGCGGTACCCCAGGTGAGCAGAGGACAGTGGCCGATCCAGCAGCAGGAGAGCCTCATTTCACCCCTACCCGTGTCTGAGGCCTGTCCTGAGAAAATCTGCCTTCCTTCTGAACCATTTTAAGCATCAATACCTGGGATGGTTTATGGCTGATGCAGAAAATTAAGTGAGAAATGAATGAAGCAAACCAACCAAATCACCAATTAAACATAGAATTTCAGTGCATTTATACATTAATATTCCTTCTACCATTTGTTCAGGCAGTGGAACAGTCAGTCACTCTCTCCTGACTGATGCAGAAAAAGGAAGCTCTTCCAGGGAATGGCATTCTCTGACCAATCCTGCATTTCTGGAAAATGTTCAGAAAGGCAGATTATATGGCCAAGGGATGGCTGAACTTCCCCTTGCTTTTCTTTGCTGTTTCAGGACTCCTACATGCTGCAGTTCTTCCAGTTTTTCAACCAATATTTTATGGTGGGTGCCCCAACCTTCTTTGTTGCCACTGGTGGCTACAACTACTCCACAGTGCCCGGAATGAATGGCATCTGTTCCAGTTCTGGGTGTAATAATAACTCCATGATGCAGAAGATCCAAATAGCCACCAGGTTCCCTGAGAAGTAAGCCACTTGGAAGCTGCTTTCAACTCAAAATTAAACTTTTTGCATTATGCTCACCTTCCCTCTACTAAAAAATACACATTGTTTTTAATTTTCCATATGAAAGATGCTAACAGTGTTTGAAGCCAAAGTAACAGCGTGGCTACCTTATGGCTTTTAAACATGTGCCTGTAGGACACAGAGCTGTAGAAAGCTGCTCAGTCACGTTTGTGGTTGCCCAGCATGTCCCAGACTCGATGCTTTGGCTGAGACTGGAGTGGCATCGATTAAAACTCAGGCACCAAAAGCACCTCAGATGTTTAAAGCCGTCTCTGGCTAAGGCTTCTGTCGAGGCTGACCTTCCCTCAGTACTGACCTCAGTCCTGAGTTATCTTTGTGCTTTCAGGTACTTTCTGGCCATTCCTGCTTCTTCCTGGGTAGATGACTTCATTGACTGGTTGAACCCTTTAACCAAATGTTGCCGCATTTACAGTTCTGGCCCTGACAAGGGCAAGTTCTGTCCCTCAACCATCGGTAAGGAACTCTGCATGGGGAGAGATGGGAACTGGCAGGATTGGACAAACTAAAAGTTGACCTCATTTCAGGGCAGGTGGCAAAATGTGTGGGGGGCTCTGGGCAGTGTCCAAGAGTTTGTCTCCTTTTGGTAGACTCCCTTTCCTGCACTTTCACCAAATGCATGGGCAGCTTGCAAGGCACCCTCCGGCCAAACCCAGAAGAGTTCAACAAATTTCTGCCCTGGTTCCTCCATGACATACCCAACCTCAACTGTCCCAAGGGGTGAGTGCCACAAACATGGCTTGCGTGTCTGTTTCCATTTGGCACCATTTGCCTATGCTGTCCAGAGGGACATCAGCCTTCCTGTCGCATTCATCCCTTCCTCCCTCTACAGGGGCCTTGGAGCTTATGACACATCGGTGCATCTGGGCTCTGATGGGCAGATCTTGGGTGAGTAGACCACATCGAAGGAAGGCACTATCGATGTGGGCCAGCAGCAAATGGTCCTGAGTTCTATGTCATCCTGCCTAATTTCAGAGGTGGGATTGTGATTTCTGGAGGAAGACTGGGCTGGGCATGGAACAACGCTTCTCTTGCCCCCAACAGCTTCCCGGTTCATGGCCTACCACACACCCCTGAGGAACTCTCAGCAGCACACGGCAGCGCTAAAGGCGATGCGGCAGTTGGCAGCTAATATTACAGCTACTTTGAGGGAAGTCCCCGGCACTGATCCAAACTTCCAGGTCTTCCCATACACGTAAGTTGCAGGAAGGAGAAACCTGGCAGAATGGGGAGGAGGGGGATGCGGATGAGGAAGGAAAGGGCTGCAGTGCCCCTCATCACGGGGCTAGAAGGATCCGGAAGCCATCTACTCTTAAGGCAGCTTCAGGGCTGCCTGTCCCAGCCATGAAATTGTGATCGGGCTTGGTTTTTGCTTGGAAGAGTCCAAAGCTGATCCTCTACTGATATGAACCAGCAAATGGGCATGGCTGCTGAACAAAGGCCCTGAGGCTCAAAGGCTCTGAGCTGCCAAATGGCAGAGAGCCACAGCGAAGGCCTTGGAGAAGGAATGCTGGAGACTGGACTTTGGGCCAATCGCTCTTTCTCTCTTAGCCCAATCCACCTTGCAGGGTTGTCGTTGTGAGGAAAATAGGAGGAGAAAGGAGTATTAGGTATGTTCGCTGCTTTGAGTTCTTTATAAAAATAATAAAGTCAGGATATAAACAAACAGGCAAGTAAATAAAATAATATTGATATTTTGTGTAGAGCCTGTTTCCTGACCTGGCCAACCTCAAAGGACTGACCTCAATGCACTGTTTTGCATGGAAGTTCCTAAGAACCATGCAGGTTGAGATAAGGGACAATCCAGCTGAGGATGACAGACACACAACATTTGGACAATTTCAGTCCCTTCCTTTGCGGTATATTGTCACTCTGAGATAGCAGTTCAGATAGAAAAGTTGAGGTCAGTGAGAACAATCTTGAAGAAGAAAAGATGCTGCAAAGGAGAGCAGTCAATGCAAGAGGGGCCTGGAGACAGGATCACAGAATATGAGGAAAGCTGAAGTGTAGAGAAGACTGTGGGAGGGTATAACAACTCTCCAAGATCCCTGAAGGGCTGTCATGTGGAGGATTGTCAAAATTATTCCCTAAAACAACAAGAAACAGTATTAAATTACAAGGAAGTAGATTTTGGTTCAACACTAGGAAAAAGTTTGGAAAAAGTGCAAGGAAGAGCAACTAAGATGATCCAAGGCCTGGAGACTAAAACATATGAAGAACGGTTGCAGGATTTGCGAATGGCCAGTCTAAAGAAAAGAAGGACTAGGGGGGACATGATAGCAGTATTCAAGTATTTGAGAGGCTGCCACAAAGAGGAGGGGGTCAATTTATTTTCCAAAGCACCAGAAGGCAAGACAAGAAACAAGGAATGGAAACTAATCAAGGAGAGAAGCAACCTGGAATTAAGGAGAAACTTCATAACAATGAGGATAATTAACCAGTGGAACAGCTTGCCTTCAGACATTGTGGGCGCTTCATCACTTGAGGTTTTTAAGAAGAGATTGGTCAGCCACTTGTCTGAAATGATATAGGGACTCCCAGTGCTTTTTTTCATAAAAAAAAAAAGGTGCCGGAACTCACACACGTCATACAACCCGCCTTGCCTACCCTACAAGGTTCCATCCAAAAAAGGCACCGGAACTCCGTTCTGGGCGTTCTATGAGAAAAAAAAAGCCCTGGGGACTCCTGTTTGAGCAGGGGGCTGGACGAGAAGATCTTCAAGGTCCCTTCCAGCTCTATTCTGATTCTGATGTTGAACCAAAGGAAACAGCCTTGAGAGCTGTTGGACTCTCCTTCCCTGGGGTGTTTAAGTAGAGACAGGATAACTATCTGTCAAGGACACTATAAATATTGTGGTTGAACTGGGTAGGGCTTAAACTAGATGATTAATCTCCCTTCTCAGGGAGGGTGGTGGGCTTTTCCAGGAACCGCTTCTCTTTCCACAGAATCACCTATGTGTTTTATGAACAGTACCTGACTATCACCACCGTTGGCATCATCAACTTGGCCCTGTGCCTGGTGCCCACCTTTGCAGTCTGTTACATCCTGCTGGGCCTGGACCTGCGCTCAGCCTTCATTAATCTGCTTACCATCATCATGATTATTGTGGACACTGTGGGTGCCATGAATCTTTGGGGAATCTCCTACAATGCCGTCTCCCTCATCAACTTGGTCACAGTAAGCCCATCTTTCCTGGGGATGATCATCATGGCGGTGTGCAGGGGGAGGGAAGAGGCACCAATGGCATGCTGGGACCAGTCCTGCCAGATGTGCCTAGCTTTAAAAATAAGCAGCCTGCACTGGTTATGCGTAGTGCTTTTCTGGAGTATCCTCTTCCAGGGTCCTCACTGGAGATTTCTGGAGGTGAAGGATATTACAGGGAAAAGGACATTTGCATGCAGAGGGAGAAACTGACCTCCCAAAAATGAGATGAAAATAAAAGCAGCATCAGTGTTTCCCCAAATGTATGAAATCTGTAGAATGGTGCCTTTTAAAAACTCACTCTGGGAACTGTTTTTATTTTCTGTGGAAGCTTTTTGTGTGGGATCCCTTTCGGTGCAGGAAAGGCAGCTCTCAAACTGATGCATGGTTTTTGACTTTTTTTATTGTCCCAGAGCTGCAAAGGAGGCAGAGCTTCACTTTTCTTACAGTCTGCAAAGATTCCACTTCTCTGTCTTCAAGGATTTCCCCTTATCTGCAGCTGCTGGGAGATCTTAAGCAGCTCCTGCTAAGCCAATTCCAGTCCTGTTTGGTTTCCTCAGTCACAGTCTTTCACACAGAGGGTGAAATAGTTAGGTTTTCCTTTCATATTAATTTTTTACTTTTACCCTAAACTTACTGCACCTCTTCATTTGTCTTGGTACCTCTCTGCTCTGCACAATGTACGATGTTTGGCCTGCCCCTTTGGGCTTTTCCAGCCTCTAGCCTTGATTTTTGTGTGTGCCTTTGCTGCCAAAATGTTAGAAATAGAACAAGAGTAACAGGATTGAAAGGAACATTGTGGTCTTCTAGTGTCCAACTTCTGCTCAGGCAGGAGACCCTATACCATTCTAGGCAAATGAATGTCCAATCTTTTTTTTAAAGCCTCCAGCAATGGAGCACCCACAACTTCTGGAGGCAAACTGTTTCATTGGTTAATTGTTCTGTCAGGGAATTTTCCCTTAATTCTAGGTTGAATCTCCCTTTGATGAGCTTCCATCCACCACCTTTTTTGTCCTGCCCTCACGTGACTTGGAGAAGAGGCTGACGCGCTCTTCTCTGTGGCAGCCCCTCAAATATTGGAAGATTGCTATCATGTCACCCTTAGTCCTTCTCTTCATTAGACTAGATATACCCAGTTCCTGCAATTGTTCATCATATAATTTAGCATCTGGTCCCCTAATCATCTTTGTTGCTGCCTCTGCACTCTTTCTAGCGACTCAACATCTTTTTTGTTCCATGGTGACCAAAACTGGACATGGTATTCCAAGTGTGGTCTTACCAGTGCAACATAAAGTCATACTAATACTTCATGTGATTTTGATACTATCCATCTGTTGATGCAACCAAGGACTGCATTGGTTTTTTTGGCAGCTGCAGTACACGGCTGGCTCCTACTTAAGTGGTGATTCACTAGGAGTCCTAGATCTGTCTCAGAATTACTGCTGTTGAGCCAGGCATTCCTTTCCACCCTCTGCTTCAACCTATCAAGTGAAGGGGAACCCACCGTTTCTCTGTAGAATTAGATTTATTGCTCTGAGGAAGCTTTTCCAAACATTCAGTCAGAATTTGCATTCTGAAGCTGAAAAAAAATAAAATTCAGATAGCAGAATCCCTGATCCTTTTTGTCTCTTCTCCCACAAAAAGGATTGGCAATACTCTTGCATGGGTGAACAACAATGGCATATGCAACAGATGTGCTTTCATTACTAATTGCTCCACTCTCCTGCAGGCAGTGGGCATCTCTGTGGAATTTGTCTCCCACATCACCCACTCATTTGCTATCAGCAAACAATCTACCAAACTAGAACGCTCCCGAGAAGCCACAATCAACATGGGAAGTGCGGTAAGGAGAAAGAGGCAAAAATGGTGCCAAGTAAGCTGGGATGGAGGGATGTGTGTGCCACAAATGGCACGTATTGTGGGCACTGGAATTGGAGATGGCAGCTCCGATAGCTGTTGCCTCTGGGCATCTCCAGGGACTGAGGCTCTGAGCCAAGTTGGTCTCTTGCCTGAAGTTCACTAGCTACGTTGCTTAGGCTTCAGAAGCTGCCAAGCGCAGCTTTCCCAAAAGAGCAGCTATTTCCCAATTGCCTGGTTGGCCTTAGCTGTGCATGACCATGAGATCAATGGGACTCTCACTTCTCAGTTTGCAGCCATGGGGTCAGCCGTTGCTCCCATTACCTGTGGTGCTGGTGGGTGATCTCAAATCTGCCATTCCGATGTTCTCCAGGGCAAGGGACTTCTTCCCTTGAGATTCCTAGGAGCAGCCCTGATTCCCACCACTCTGAGTGCCCTTCCCCTTCTTGTAGGTGTTTGCCGGTGTGGCAATGACCAACTTGCCAGGCATTGTGGTCCTGGCATTTGCTAAGGCTCAAGTGATCCAACTCTTCTTCTTCCGCCTGAACCTCATCATCACACTCCTAGGAACGCTGCACGGCCTGGTGTTTCTGCCTGTCATCCTCAGCTACTTTGGTACGTTTCTCTTCCTTGTTCCCCGGATCCTTTGGCTTCTCTACCCTATAAAAGCACTCCACACTCCATGGATGCATCTGCAGGGTTGTTGAAAGGGTCCGTCTGTTGTCCTGGTCTTCCATTTGGAACTTTCCTCCTGGCTCAAAAACCAGAAGTAGGAAAAATGCTATAGGTGCGGTTGCATTTCATGTTACAGTAAAAAACGGAAATGCCTCCCTCTTAGTCAATGGCTGTGTGTGCGCATGTGTGTCCGTGTGTGTGCGTGCATGCTGAAGAATGGGGGGGGGAGTTGGTAGGGTGTGGCAAAGGGAGGGCTTCTTCCCTGAAGGAAGGCTGGAGGGGAGCAGAATCCAAAAGGCTGCCCTGAACCTATCCTGGAAGGGAAATGGCCCTCTGCCAAGGGCTTCCTCTGACAAACTGCTCCTAGGATTAGGGATTTTTTTTATCAGCAGCATTCTGCCTCCTTGTAGCACTTTCATTATTTGGTGCCTGTGACTCTCTAGCAAATGAGGAGAGAGACATGATATTTTTGTTCAAGAGCTGGCAACTATAATGGGCTGTGCAAATAACCTTGAAGAAGGGGAAATCTGCAGGATGTAATGTGAGAAAACAGCTCACATTTGACCCTCTTTAGGTTAGAGGCAGGGAGGAGGGAGGGAGGCACACTCAAGAGTTGCAGGATTCTGTTGCTGTAACTGTACAATAGAAGCAGTTCTAGTATCCGTACAGATGGTGTCCATCTGGTGTCTGTCAAAGAGCTGACAGAAATGCTGCTGAAAAAGACAGGTGGGAGGCTGCTGCTCAACTGGTCTTCATCTCGCCTGGGCAGCTTCAACTTGATTTGGGCATTAATAAAACACAGGAGCTCCGAGCCCTACAGAGAGACGAGACATCATCCCACCCGGGTGGGTCCTTCTGTGCTCCATCCTGACTCCTCTGCTCTCTTCTCAGGGCCTTCGGTCTGTCAAGCAAGGCCAGAGCTGCAGCCAAGAATGGACAACCCCTCCGTTCCTTCAGAAGGCAACGAAGTTCCTGACGTCGACCAGACCACTCTGCATCACAGCCCGGCTACAGCCACAAGTCGTGACCTGGGCAAAGCTGGCCTCTAGTCTAGAAGCCTCCACATCAGTCTGCAGGAGAGAAGCTTTGGCAAGCTATGTGTATATCTAGCAGCTGATGCCCCAAAATAAGACCCTTCAGAATCTTCTGACTGTATCTGTTCAACACTGCATGAATTTGGTTTCTATCTAGAATGGGGGAACCTCGTCTGAAATCCTAATCAACTAGGGAGAACAGGCAAACAATCTGGGCCTGGCAACCAAACCTTAGCTCAGAACTAGACAGATAATTCTTGTCCAAAAAAGTCTCTACCGGGGACAGGTGTGGACACCTGGTTGATGCTCAGCTCTTCAGTGCTGGATTTTTTTTGTTTTGTCACCCTGAGTTCCATAGACAACAGTAAGGACAATTCCCAGGTTAAAAATGAGATGTGTTCTCAAGTGTGCCTTAAAATCAAATTTCCAATGTGAGTTGGAACTTATACTTATGAAAACTGCTGAAAACAGTTTGTGTATTAAAAACACACAGCTTCAGCAGTTCATGAAAACCTTGCCTGGCTTCAGTGTGTGTTGACTCGAAGACAGAGAATGCTATCTGCCATTTTTACTAATAGGCAGTCCATTTATAAGTACGAGTGGTCTATAAGACAGATGTTCTTAACCCATAGACTGCCTGTATAATAAATATTCCCTAAATTAAACTGTAGTTTTCTTGGGAGGAATTTTTGATCTTACTGATAAAACCAGAAGAAAAGAACTTGTGGATCAAAACCTGACCACTGTCACTGAAGCCACTTCCCCTCCTGTATCAGGATCAGCTTCTAGTTTAATCCATTGACCATGTAGGCTGCTTTAAAATCTACCTGATTCTTCTCAGTAGCGTTAAATACTTCTGCCTCTCAAGAAAAATGGAAGTTATAATATTGCCTAATATTTTGATTCCTGTTCTATATTGATGGGGGATGGGGGTGGCGGCAAACAGTCCTCAAAAACATTTTTAAAGTGTTTTGTTTCTATCCTTCACTGATGCAATACAAATAGCTTTAGCATGAATTATTTATTCCTTATTTTTTATCCTCGTCTTTCATTAAAATAATGCTCAAGATGGCTAAGAATAAAATAAAATTTATAGAGCTGACCTTAAAATATTAATTTATTTATTATATTTAACCACCCCAATTTTATTGTTCTGAGCACTCTGAAACCAAACAAGGATAATACAAGTAATGTGAATATAACAAATGCAGAACACCTCATTCAAGAGCAGTTGAATTCAGCATGTTGAATTGAGCTTGGAAGCTAACAGATAGCAAGTCAAATGATCTTAGGATCATAGGTACCGTTATCCCATCAACATCCTGGTTGCTGTATTTTGGACTAATTGGAGCTTCCATGTTCTCTCACATTTTGCTATAGTTCTACAGTGTTGCAATCGGCTTGAGTTATCATCACCAAGGCATCTTAGTTAAGAGTAGTCAAGTACTCAAGTATTTTAACTAATGTAATAAAAATATATAAAGTTTGTCAAGTGTCAGCCCCACTAGGCAGACCAGCCCCAGAAAGCAATTCTACAGGAAGGCAACATTGGCCATAAAACAGAACCCTGGAAGTTTGATGATGCTGGAAGTCCTCCTTTTCGCTACAGTTTGGTGAATTAAGGTGCTGTCTGCCCAAGCCACTTCTGCATCTGATCTGAATGATCTGGACTTAAAAGATGTTTCACTCCTTGTTACTATGGCAACAGAGTTGGCTTATCTCCCTCAGATTCCTCTTCCTCACTCTCTACATCGAGGGAGTTGTTGTTAGTTGCAAAGTCATGTCCAACCCATCGTGACCCCATGGACAATGTTCCTCCAGGTCTTCGTGTCCTCTACCATCTTCTGGAGTCCATTTAAGCTCACGCCTACTGCTTCAGTGACTCCATCCAGTCATCTCATTCTCTGTCATCCCCTGCTTCCTCTTCTCCAGTGAATCCTTCCTTCTCATTAGGTGGCCAAAGTATTTGAGTTTCAACTTCAGGATCTGGCCTTATAAAGAGCAGTCAGGGTTGATCTCTAGACCTAACCAGTTTGAACGCCTTGCAGTCCAAGGGACTTGCAGGAGTCTTCTCCAGCACCATAGTTCAAAGGCCTCAATTCTTTGGCGCTCAGCCTTTCTTATGGTCCAACTTTCATAGCCATACATTGCAACTGGGAAAACCATGGCCTTGACCATATGCACTTTTGTTGGCAGGGTAATGTCTCTGTTTTTTAGTATGCTGTCTAGATTTGCCATAGCTTTCCTCCCCAGGAGCAAGCGTCTTTTAATTTCTTGGCTGCAGTCCCCATCTGCGGTGATCTTGGAGCCCAGGAAAATAAAATCTGTCACTACCTCCATTTCTTCCCCATCTATTTACCAGGAATTGAGAGGGCCGGATGCCATCATCTTGGTTTTCTTAATGTTGAGTTTCAAGCCAACTTTTGCACTTTCCATCTTCACCTGCATCAAGAGGCTCTTTAGTTCCTCTTCACTTTTTGCAATTAGAGTGGTATCATCTGCATATTTTAGGAGGGAAGGACACTCCACGGGGGAAGGGGGGAATCCAACCTGGAAAAGAGTCGCCGCGACCCCATCGCTGGAGGGCTTTGAAAGAGACCCGGGCGGCCGCCCGTCTACAATGGCGCGGGGCCTCCTGCTTGGGCAGCGGCTGGCACTAGAGGAGCTCCGGGGTCCCTCCCGGCTCGGTTCTGAATTCGAGCACTCGAGCCCGGCGCTCCCTTAAGGCGGGCGGGATCCGCCCCAGCGCGGGAAAGCGCGGCGCCCCCTGCGGGCCATGGGCCAAACCGGCGGCGGAGGTGAAGCGCGACCCCTGGCGGCCCGGGGGGGGCGGCGCAGCTGGCGGCACTTCCGGCGGAGGCTCCCATGGCGATGGCGATGGCGGCGGCGGGGCGGCGGGGCGCGGAGGCGAGTGGGGGTGGCGGGAGGAGGAGGAGGAGGGGGGGAACAGGGGGCTCCCCTGGGAGGGGGGACTCCGCGCGTGCCCGCCCCTGACCGCGCGCTCTCTTTGCAGGCCTCCGCGTGGGCCCTGAGGAGCGCCTGGGGGCTACTGGGCGCCGGGCGCGGGTTCCGGAGCAGCGCCGTCTCGGAGAAGGTAGGGGCCGCGCAGCCGCTGGACGGGCCGGCGGGGTGTTCCGGGAAAGTCTGAGCGGGGGACGCGGAAGGCCGCCTCGCCCACGCGCCCCGCTCTCCCTTGCAGTGCCACGCGGCCCGCGTTCGCCCTCGGAAGGGGAACCAGCCGGTGTCGTACGAAGAGGCTCACCCGCCCCACCACATCGCCCACCGCAAGGGCTGGCTCTCCCTGCACACCGGTGAGCGTCAGGCGGGGGCAGGAGGAGGGGGGTCGATGCCCCGGAGGGCCCTGCGGACCCCAGGCGCGAACCCAGGGCCCTCGGGGATGAAGGCGGCTACGGCCGCGCAAACGGCCACCGGGGCTCCCTCCATCTGGTCTCTCCCCCTCCAACCCCAACACAATAATCCCGGCTTTTCCCGCCCGGCTTCCCTCATTACCCCCCTTTCCTTCGCCCCCCCCAAAGATCCCCCTTCACCTAGCAGTTTTCAGTGGGGGGAGGGGCAGGGAAGGGGGGAAACCTCTGGACTGCAGCTGCTCCCGCCCCTCCCCCTCCCACAATTTATGGAGCCCAGAGGATGCTGGGAAAAGCAGGGCTGCCGTCTGGAGGTCAAAATGGCTGTTCAGAGGCTCTAAAAATAAAGCCTCTTCTTAATGTTTCACATTAAATGGCAGCTGCAGCAAGTCTTTGCCATTAGATGTCTGAAGACGGGCTGAGTGAGGCCATTTTCTGGATCTGGTCTGTTTGAGCGACAGTGTGGCACAGAGCACCCCTCTCTGGCTCAGCCCTAAGGCCTCTCTTGCATCACAAGAAGAATAAAATTGGCTCTCGCTTCCTTGGTTTGTCCTGCAGGTAACCTGAATGGTGAGACTGACGCAGCTGAGCGCACGGTGGAGGATGTTTTCATTCGCAAGTTCCTCTTTGGCACCTTTCATGGCTGTTTGGCTGATGAGATTGTGCTGAAGCGTCGGGCCAACACTTTGATAATCTGCGCCATTCTAATGCAGAATCTCCCACCACATAAGATTTACTTCCTGGTTGGCTACACAGAGGTGCTGCTTTCCTTTTTCTACAAGTGTCCTGTTAAGATGGAGGTGCAGACCATATCTGAGAAGATAATTTACAAATGTCTCTAATCCTGGCTTAGCTTATCATAGAAAGATGTTCCTGAATCCTGGTTGATATTGATGCTCCATACTAGACCCAGTGGGATTCTTGCTTCTTTTGTCCTTGAACAGACTGGTGTTTTCCAGCCATTGACTTCTCCTCCAGAAATTGGAAATAGATGGAAGCACCCAGAGAAAGGAGAAATCTTATTGATTATTAGAAATGAGTTGCTGAAATGCAAACAAGGAATATTTGTCCCTATTTATGACTCTTCCCAGTTCTTTGTCTCTTTAGCTGTAGAATCTTGGCCTTCACCGCTCTCTGTAGCAATGGAAAATCATTTCACTTTGCTTCATTGAATGGGTTGCTCCAGGCTGAGGTCTGTTCTCTTTCTTCACAGACTGCAGGGTAAGTGCTTCAGTATAGGAAGGAATCTAGCCTGTAAAGAGCAGGCTTGTAGGGCAGAGTGAAGATGGACAAAATGACACCAAAGGTCATGCTAGGTTCTTTTCAGGCCAAGTGCAGAATTAAACCCTATAAAGAGCTATTCAGACAACCAATGAAGAATGGCCTGGGGAGTAGAAATGGAATGACAATCTGAAAGGTCCCTTGGAGGCAAAATAGGCCCAAAAATGCATATGTAGCACCCTGGAAAAATTATTGCTTCTGTTCTGGAAAAGAGAATCTGTTCAATGTACTTCCCTTTAGTTACATCTTGGAGATAAAGTATTCACACATTGGGAAGTTGCAAAATGGGATGAACAATTTCCTGGCAGTCCGTATCTATGTGTAGCCCAGGCATGATTAGAAGCACAGCTTGAACTTCAAGGTGATTTTCTGTGTAGTGAGAGTCTAGGAAAACATGATTTCCCCTCGCAAGTCATGTTTCCTTCAAGTTATAATGGTTAACAGGGCTGAGTAATTGCTAAAATTCATGATGGACCAGTGCTATCCAAGTGTCATAGCCATTTTATTTTGTGCTAAAAACAATGTGACCAGCTGGATTTTGCCTGATCTCAAAAAAAGCTCCAAAGATCCAGTCCTAGTTAACGCTTGGATAGGAAACCACCAAGAAAATCTCAGGGCTGTAAACCAGACTGGGAATTGGGCAAAGCAAATCTCTCTTCCTGGACTTGTTTAGAAATTTCATTTCATTTCATTTCATTTATTGGACTTATATGCCGCCCTTCTCCCCACAGGACTCAGGGCGGCTCACAGCATATTAAAACAGTATAAAACATTATCCCCAATAAAAACCAATTAAAAACAAATATTTGTCGCTGTGTCTTATTAAAATCATTAAAATTGTCCCTATTTAAAATTCACCCTAGGCCAGACCCGCNGGAGGGAATCTGTGGCAGAAGGCGGTCTCGGAGATATCCAGGTCCGATGCCATGGAGCGCTTTAAAGGTGGTAACTAACACCTTAAAGCGTACCCGGAAGGCCACTGGTAACCAGTGCAGCTCGCGCAGCAGCGGTGTTACGTGGGAGCGACGCGTCCCTCCCAACACCACCCGCGCGGCCGCATTCTGGACCAGCTGAGCTTGACTTGAAGGAGATTTGGCTTTTTTTATAGAAGAGAAATAGATCGTGAAAGGATGTTTTTCCAGGAACTCTTCTTTCCCTTTGAAGTACTTCTACTGCTAGTGTGTGTGTGTCAGCTGAGCTCGAATTCTGAAAGCCAGGTCCCTAGCCTTGGGGAAATGACCATGAGAGTAGTTTTGTTTGCCTGAGTACCACTCCCCACAACTGAAAGCTGGTTGGCAAAAGAGCTGTGCCCCTTGGCCACCACTTCCATTGGCACAAGGTGTGTGCCCACTGGCTACCGGTAGGCTGGGGCCAAGAGGGCTTGCGATAGTACCCATGCAAGCTTGAATTGTTACTAGGACAGGAGGGGAAGACTCCAAATGGTCGTGGGGGAGGCTCTGTTTTTGCCAGCACAAGCTCCTTCGGATTGGAGTGCCCTCCTGTTTGAGGTCAGCCCAGCCCAGCATTATCCTGCCATTTCCTTTCTTCCTGGAAATGATGATGGGCAGGGAGCTTTCATGTAATTGTGAAGTGGAGGTTCACCACTGTGACTTGAAACATGAATTCATTGAAAGCACTCTTTAGGAGTGTGTACTTAACTGAATTACTGAATTGACCTATCTTTGGAGGTTTGCACAAGGTTGCCACCATTTTCTTTTTTTTAATCCAAAGTGAATGGTAATCCATCTTAGCATGTACCACTTTGCTGAGTCAGCATTCATGGATGCAGCGGATGTCATTCAGTATAAAGGAACTCTGTAAGATCATCCTGTGACAGAGGATGTTGCAAGCAATGCTCACAAGGAAAGGTGGCTGCAGACAGGCCATTTCCAGCCAGAGATTTCTGATGAGCTGCAGTAAAGAGGAGCCACTCAGAACTCTTCTGTTGCTTTGAACTCTGACTCTGCTTTATAAGACAGGGCATGGGGTTCCTGGCACTGCCAACTGTACAAAACTAATGATGCAAGCAGAGAAACGCACATGGCCAAGCTCCAGCTTCCTGATGGTTTTAACTTTGCCCTTCAGAAAGGAGTCCAAAGCTCAGAAGCCCCCAGGAAGCTAAATTGGGCAGTGGGAGTGAATACTACTGGGCTTAGCCCAGACTGTATTTATATTTCCCTTGGCCATACTTCTTTCCATCAGGTGTGAACCGGTTGGGATAAAATGACAATACAATGTGTGGCCAAGAAGGCCAGATTCAGTTACATGTTGTGTCATGAGCAGATTGAAATTGGCTGCTGAAATTCTGAATGTAATCCTTGCAACTGAGTGGCCTTCTGTTCTTCTGGCCACTGGCCATCTGTTTTCCCATCCTGGCCGTCCTGTTTCATAAACTGCCACTGAAGAGGCCCAGTTGTTTTCCTAGGTGGCGGCGTCTGGAGCACTTCCTAGTGAGTGCACTGTTTACTTTGTTGGTTTATGCCTAAACGCTGTTTAGAACTGTTTTGCCAGTGACATCCGTGGAAGTAACTCAGTGTTAGTCACAGGGCCATAGACAACTTTATTTTTAAATCCTAGTACAGAAGAGCAAACAGCCAAAGACATGCACTGGCGGCAGCATTGGTGATATTCATTTTCTCTTCCTTAGCACAAGCCATAACCTTAATCTACAGCTCAGTGTCTCTTTTCTCTTCCACAATCTTGCACGATGGCAGCATTCAATTGAAGGGAGTGGCACACCCATTCTGCCCCATTCTGTCAGGCAGAAGCAACTGGAGGCAGGCAGTCCCTCATATACCAGGACCTGTGCACAAAGGGCTTTATAGGTGATACCAACACTTTGAATTGTGCCGGGAAGCAGCTTGTGTAGCAGTGATCTAGGCATAATGAGGTGTGCCCATTATTGCTTGCACTGTTGCATTTTGAACCAGCTGTCGCTTCCAGATGGTCTTCAAAGGCAGCCCCACATAGAGGGCATTCCAATAGTCCAACCGTGAAGTTTTGCACCTTCCAATATATTTTTATCCACTACTAGATGACAGTTTTGATGCTACAAAACTGTGCCCCCTGTGGAACATAGATGTTTGCAACTGGTGCTGTTTCTGTTCAGTGGAAGGGAAGTTTTCTCCCCAAATAAATATATACTTTTGGTCCTTTAGCAACTGATGCAATTGCCCACCAATAACATTGGAATTGTATACTGTCACTTAGTTCAGATGGCAGGTTGGGTTCTGTTTACTGAAAGCATTACAATAGGGTGCATTGCTACAAGATGCTAAATGATTTACCATGCAATAAGTGGATTTACACAATATATTAAACAGACACCATTGGGTCTATACCCCATTTCTTCCACAAGCACCCCCTAAGCTAGGCTATGTGACCCTTTATTTCTCCCAACGACCACCTAAGTTGAGCTAAGTGAACGACTGCCTTAAAGACTGCTTGAACCTACATTTCCTTGATTCTAATCCAACAGTTTAATTGCTATACCACATTCTAAGCTTAGTATTTTCTATGAACTGCCCCTCCCTTTTTTTTAGCAGAATGTGATATATCACGTCAATTTCCTCAAGTCCTCAGTATTAGCTGAAGATTCACAAATAGAAAATCATTCTAATCATGCTAGCCTTTTCATGTTTACTTCAAAATTTGTACTTCCCAATATGTGCAGAGAAGATAAAAGCAGTGCTTTTTTTCCTACTATAGCACATTGCATTCCCATAATGCTTACTTTTTCATTATTGCAAAATTGGGAGGTGTTTCAGGTCCCAGAAGACCTGTCTGATACTTAGGGAAAAATAACTAAAGCTGGTATATTTACAATTGAGCATTTACAAAAAATGGTGTCTTCTCAGCAATCATTGGTAGGACTTGCTGCAACTTAAGATAGGTAATGTAGGTAATGCAATCAGATGACCACATTTTTTCCATAATCAACTTGCCAGAACACTTGACATTTGAATTTTCAGTAATTTTGCATAGTTAATCTAATAAAGATTGTCTTACTGGGTCTAGGGACTGAGTGGGTGATGTAAAAATTCCATAGAATAATAAAATGATAAATGCCCAATTTATGTATATTAGCATAATATCTAACGGGAAATATGACCCACATCTGTACCTATATATAAATAAAATGATGCAGAAGCAGCAACACCAGACCTTTTGGCGGAGTGGCAAGTGCCTCTTTCCCTTGCCTGCAGCTTGTGCTGCTTTAGGCTTATTTTACATACCCAGATGCTCAATAGTGTTCCACACAGATTGACAAACTCTACAGGGGAGTTATGGTGGAGAATCGAGTGTCCCTTGTGTCAGAGATCACCCGACTGGTGGAACATTGACTCAAGAGCTGCAACTTGTTCCTGTCTTGCCAGAGTTGGTCGTTAATGGCAGTTTCTGGACTCCTGCCTTGCCCTCCAAGCGTAGATCCCGTCTTTGGAATCCGCTCCCTTCTGAGGACAAAACGGACTCTGGTGACGCAGCTTTCAACAACCAGCTCAGCCCAGGAAAGGCAGCAGATTCAGTCTTGCCAGTTAACAGCAAAGGACAGCCCTGTCCTCTGAACTCAAAGTCACAGGTGCTGCCTGCCAGGTGGTTGCAGTCAAGCTAACCCTGGCACAACCCTGGATGGGCAGGGATGGCATCGGACCTGGATACCTTCGAGACCGCCTCCTGCCGCAGATTACCCCCCATCGACCTGTACGCTCCCACAGAGTGGGTCTCCTCAGGGTGCCGTCAGCCAGACAGTGCCGGCTGGCGACCCCAAGGGGGAGGGCCTTCTCTGTGGGAGCTCCCACCCTCTGGAATGAACTGCCCCCAGAGATCAGGGTAATCCCNCGCCCTTAAGACATGGTTGTTCCAGCTTGCGGGACTGGCCTAGGGGAATTTTTAGAGGGGGTTTTAAATTTATCTTAATTGGATCAAATTCAAATATTTCCCTTTTAATTAATTTTAACCTGTAATGTTATTTTTGTATTTTTATCTGATTGTTAGCCGCCCTGAGTCCGCAAGGAGAAGGGCGGGATATAAATTTAATAAATAAATAAATACATAAATAAATAAATAAATCTAAGTCAGGCTTTTGAGGCTGTTGAATCCCTCTTCTCCAGCGCTGCAGAGCACTTATTTATGGTAGTGGCTTCCAGTTTTCATGCAGGTTGTGGCTTGTGGGCCCTGCTAGGTGGCAACACTGGGCTGATCTTGAAAACTAAGCAGAGCAGGGCTTGGCTGAATTGGCTGAGCAATATGACAGTCCTCAGCTTAGCGACCATTTGAACTGATGGAAGCCCCAAAAGGCTATTTAGATAGGTTCAAAGTTCCGATGGCTGCCTTCCCTCATCACATAATTGCATTTTAGGCTCTTGGAAAATGGCTCACGTTTATGGCCATTGGCAGCATCCTGCATGTGATCGTGATTTATATAATCTTTGCTGAAAACTGGCATTTACTTCCAGTTTCTGGCAAAAAAATGTCATTGTGGACAATGGAGTCAATTAAGGACCCCTGTGTTCATTTAATGACTTCCACAAAAAAGGTGATAAAATTGGGTGTGGTCATGTGTTGATCTGCAAATCAACTGGCTCAACTTAAAACCATAATTCAATTACGGTCATAATTCAAGCAATATCTGTAAAGTAGAATAGGAACCTGAAAAAACCTTCCAGGAGTGGGCAGAGTAACCACTTAAAATACTGTGGCAAAAAAGAAAAACCATCTGAATATAATGATGGAGAACCAAGAATCCTGCTTGAGGCAAAAAAAGCCTTTAGCTCTGTAACCGCATTAAACAGGGTGTTTTCTGAGCAGCAGACGGGATGGGTGAGAAATTGGGAGAGCCGAGCAGTCAATGTGGGAAAGTAAAAATAACAATTCAATGAAATTGTTGAAATAGATTGTTCAGAATTATTTTCCATTATTTCATGGAGGCCAATAAAATGCCCAGCACAGCAGGATTGGAGCATTGCATGCACTGCTGTTCTTTCATCATGGACTATCGCATTACCTCAGGTTTGCTTAACCTCAGGAAATAGCTGGATCAGGTGTCCTGAGACCATTAACTTGGCAGTAGAAATGATTTCAAGTACATTTCCCCCCTCTGATATGTGTAAATATCTGGCCATGTATACAGCTGGGTGCCAATATTAGTTCAGCCAGTAAAAAAGCTCAAGGTCTATTTAAATATGGTGCCTGGTAGACAAATGGATTCTGCATGAGAATCCATTTTGCCAATATGATCGGCAACATGATCGCCAACGTCTGATAACGGATATGGCACAAGAAGAAGATGAGGTAGGGCAGCTTTTTGCCCCTAGGCCAGGGCAGGGCTCAGGCTCTGCCCCCTCAGCATTTCAGCAGCCCCTAGACTAGAGCTTCTCTTAGCTTCTCCTCCTGCAACTGGAGTGAGTGAGGGGGACAGCAGAGTCATGGCACTCTGCTGCCCCACTTCGAACACATCTGGCTGCCAGTTGAGGGGAAACTTTCAGAGCAGAAGAGAAAAAAGGAAGCATAAGGACAGACCCAAATGAGACAGATTGAAGGGAAAAATAAAACTCTGAAGTCGAAAGGAATCACAAGGATTGTCTAGTTCAATCTGTGGTAAGAAAAGCAATTAAGCCATCTTCAAGAGATGGCTGTTAGGTGATTTCTTAAACATCCAGGGATGGAGAGACTATTGTCAGGTGAGGAGCCTGGATAGAGTTTAAAAGCACTGAGTTTTTTTCCATGTCACGTATTCACAAGAAGCTGATCTATTAACAGGCCGAGGCAAATTAGCGCCAGATAAGTCAGCAGACTTCAAGAGGGGGTTGGATTAGGTCTCTGGGGGGGGGGGGGAAGGAACCGATGATGTATTTGACCCTGCCCTTGGGCTCAGCCTAGTGGTGTCCTACATCTATTTTCCTTTTGTACAGATCTTAAAAGGTTTCCCCTTTCGAGTTTTGTCTGACTCATCTCTGTTTCTTAGCTGAGGGAAGCAGCGTTATCCAAAGACCCATCTGTGGTCATGTGGCCAACATGAGGGTAGATGTACAACTGGCTCACCACACTGAAAGTCAGCATTAATAGCTCTGCACTGAGTTGGATTTCATAAGGATGGGATTTCATGATACCGAGGCCTGGTATTCTACAACATTTTTTAAAGAATTACTGGGATAGAACCGTGGTGGTATAGGGGTTAGAATGCAGCACTTCAGGCTAACTCATTGCTCAATCCAGGAGTTCGATTCTGAGTGGCTCAAGGTTGACTCAATCTTCCATCCTTCTGAGATTGGTAAAATGAGCATATTAGCAACTCAAGCAACTGAGAAGTACTCAAGTCAGTGTTGCAAATAGACCTTTACTCTGAGATAGGTTTTGGTAACTTGAACCTCAAGTATGTTTAAGGGTATGAAAATGGAGCCTTCTTATTTCTTTCCCTACTTCCCAGGGTTTGATTACTGAACTTCAAACATGGCCCAAACATATCTGGAACTGCTCTCAGCTCCTATTGCAACACTAAGTTTTATATGCTGGCTTGTAAAGGATAAAGTCATTTCATAATAAATATTCCCCATAATCACAGTTAACACACCTTGAGAACGGAGCAGAATCAAACCAAGCACTTCATGCTTAGACAAAGGCTCTTTTGTAAATCTTTGGTGGACCACCTTTGCCAAGCCTAGTGTGCCATTCTATTAACGTTCTTCTTGCAGACCTGTGCCTGGAGAATACATGGAGGCATTTGGTAGACCAGGGCAGCTCCACAGAACTACATGGACCAATCTGGATCTAGCAGCAGGAAGGAAGGAGGATCTTCTGTTCTCTTTCAGCCTCTAGATCTGCTGTTGAAAAGTGCATGGCATCATGGGGTGGGGGAGGGGATTCCCTTGAATTAAATTAGACTTGGTGACTTCATGGACAGGTACATGTAGTTTTCTTGAATAGAAATGTGATTGCAGTTGCTTTCTTTGAGACCCTTTTCTTTGTCTGGCCTACAGCTCCAAAACCACCTTAGTAATCTAAAAATCCAGACGGATAATTTCCAAAATTCTTCTCTATCATTTGCTTTCAAAACTTACAAATGGGCAAGCCTTATGTAACTATGTGCCCAGATGACAACCAGGCCATATATGGGCCATAATACAGGTGGGATATAAACAAACAAACAATCATTGGTTTACTTCTGATTCAGTTCCAATTTTTTCTTTATTACAGTCTCAGAGCAAATACATAATTTAATTTTAAACTACAGAAACACCAGAAAAGCACTAATATATAACTTAAACAAAAGAAACCTTAAGACAATTAACCAGGAAAATATATATATCCCTTAGCTTTTGCAAACCACAGCTATCGGAAGAAACTTGGCGGCGTTTGCTTCACTTTGTAGAATAGAAAATCGGATGCAAAAATTACAAATGAAGACCAACAAGACTCCTGCAGCTCTAAAGTTAAGACAAAACCGCGTCGCGAAGTGGCCAAAAGCTCCGGGGAGCCGAGCCGGCAGATTGGGTGATCTGGGTTGGACGCAGAGAACGGGAGCCGCGGCGCTCGGCCAGGGAGGTGGGATCTCGAGGCCACCCAGACCCAAATTCCGGGCTTTAGTCTCCGGGGTAGATGCGCTGGCGGCCCGCCTGAGCCCCCCGGCGACTCCAGGGGCCCGGGAGAGGCCGACGCTGCCCCGGCCGAGGGAGCCGTGCCTGCAGCCCGCCGGTGCCCAGGGAGCCTTTTCCCGCTCAGGGCGGCTTCGGCCCGCGCCTCCCCCTTGCCAGGCAGGGCGCCGGGGAAGCGACCGCATCCTTTCCCCGCGGCCCCGCCGCGCTGCCCGGGCAGGAAGAGCTCCCCCGCCCCCGCGGCTTCCGCCCGGAGCCGCCCCCCCGCCGCCAGCCGCAGACGGGGCGGGGCGCGCGGCGTCACGTGGGCCAGGGCTATAAGAAGGGCTCCCCCGCGCGCCAGACGGAGCCGGCGAGTTGCGGAGAGGAGGAGAGGCAGCTGGGCGGGCGGAGGCGAGGTGCGCACGAGGCCGGCCGGTCAGCGAGCAGCGGGGCGCTCTTCGCGGTGCGTCTGGCTCCGGCGCGGGGTCCTTGCCGGGAAGGCGTCTTGCGGCTGCCCGCGAGGCCCGCCCGAGGCGCGGCTTTCCATTGCAAGAAGAACGGCGGCGGGCGGGCGGGGCGCCATGGCGGGATTGCGGGGGGGTCCGCGGAGCCGGTCCGCTGCGCTTCTTTGGTAGCAGCGGACGGGCGGCCCTCGGCTGCATGGCGTCGGCCCTGCCCACGACCCTGGCGATGGGCCTGACCACGGAAGCGGCGGCGACGGCGGGGGCGGCGGGCCCGCTGGGCGCCTTCCTGTGGATGCTGGTGCTGGGCTTCGCCATCGCCTTCGTGCTGGCCTTCTCGGTGGGCGCCAACGACGTGGCCAACTCCTTCGGGACGGCGGTGGGCTCGGGCGTGGTGAGCCTGCGGCGGGCCTGCGTGCTGGCCTCTGTCTTCGAAACGGCGGGCTCGGTGCTGCTGGGTGCCCGGGTCAGCGAGACCATCCAGAGAGGGCTGATCGACGTGGGCCTCTACGCCGCCGCTCCGGAGCTGCTCATGGCCGGCTCGGTCAGCGCCATGTTCGGTGAGCGGCGAGCCCGTCAGGGGGGAGGGCGGCGAGGGGCGCGGGGGGCAGGGCGGCGCTGCTGACGCCCTTTCCCGGCAGGCTCGGCCGTGTGGCAGCTGGCCGCCTCCTTCCTGCGGCTGCCCATCTCCGGCACCCACTGCATCGTCGGGGCGACCATCGGTTTCTCGCTGGTGGCCAAAGGACAGGAAGGAGTCCGGTGGTCCGAGCTGCTGAAAGTCGGTAAGCGGGGAGGGAGCGGCCCTACTCGGTAAGGGGGGGGCGGGCGGGCGGGGAAGAGATCTGGCGCCTTTGCCTCCCGTAACGGCGCCGCTCCGGCTGCTTCTGCCCCCCGCAGTGCTGTCCTGGTTCATCTCCCCGCTTCTCTCCGGCGTCATGTCCGCCCTCCTGTTCTTCGTGGTCCGGACGTTTATCCTGAACAAGGTAGGTCGGAGGCCTGCAAAAGCGGCCCGCTTCATCCCCGCCGCGCCTGCCGCGGGCAGATAAGGCCTAATCTCTTGTCTCAGCGGTCGGGAAGGGAGCACGTGGGCGGCCCCGGAGAAAGACGGCCGGCCTGGGTCTCTCGGCCGACGGCAGCCCCTTCGGCAGAGGGGGGGAGGGGGCACTAGCCCTGACAACCTGGCCTGCACGTGTGCATGTAGTCAGGATAGGTGCTGTCTAATGGGAATCTCCAGGGGAGAAAAACGCTAGTTTAAGACTTTACTCTCCGGAGGCCTGTTAGCCGCCTGTGTCTAAAAAGCTCCATGTTTCCTGATGGGACGATCTGTGTCCTGCAATGTAGTCCTCCTTTTGTAGAGGTTTGGTGGGCAAGAACAGTAATTTACAATGAGATGCTTCTCCAGTTGAGAAAGTGGGTCTGCTGTTCTAAATTTTTGAAATTTTCAAAGTTTAAATAAAATATTTCTTCACTGCTGCCCTGTATACTTGTTTAACTAATGTAGTAGTGATGTGTGATTAGATTGTAACTAGAATTTTATAGTTAGGAGTTCTCTTCAAAGAGTCAGATCGATGGAAACACCCCAATATCATTCTCAACACTAATTAGTTGTTCCTTGCACATGCTCTGCCTGAATGTGTCTAGTGAAGGACAGCCTACTGCTTCTTTTGGTAACCGGTTTCCCAGTTGTCAGGTTTTGAGTATAGGGACGTTTTTCCTTAGTACAGGTAATCCTCAGCTTACAACGTCAGTTGAGCCCAAAATTTCTGTTAAGTGAGATATTAAGTGAGTTTTGCCCCATTTTATGACCTTTTTTGCCACAGTTGAATCATTGCAGTTGTTAATCTGGCTTCTCCATTGACTTTGCTTGTCAGAAGGTCACAAAAGGTGATCACACAATCATGGGATACTGCAACCATCATAAGTATGAGTCACTTGTCAACCACTTGAATTTTGATCACATGATCATGGGAATGCTGCAACAGTTGTAAATGTGAAAAAGTTGTTTCACTTTTTTCAATGATGTAACTTTGAACGGTCACAAAATGAACTGTACAGGACTACCTGTATTGATATTTTTAAACTTTAGAGTATCCTGCACTGATAGCAGGTTATGGTCACTACCTGGCTTCCCTTTATAACTAACCCTTTTAAGTTTTCCAGAGATCAGGTCTTGGAGGAAAAATTATCCACCCCCCAACAATCAGCCTCCTGGTCCTTTGATGATTTTCTGTGAAGACCACAGAAAGTGGGGTTGGGTTGGGATGGGAGAGGCTGAAAAAGCTACAGAATCCTCAATGTTTTCCGCCACAATTGCAAAACTATGAAGTTTATAGTTCTGAAGTTAATCAATTAATAGTATTTTTTCCAGAAGATTCAAAGATAGTAAATATTTCCTTTTTCTTCCCTGTGGGTACCAAGATTATTAGCATTGCTCCTTTAAAATATGTCACGTTTTTGCATTGTAAAATTTGCATTGTAAAATTTCTGGATATGTTGTTTTATAGTAATGGATGTCATAAAATATATTTTTTGTAGGCAGATCCTGTTCCAAATGGATTACGTGCATTGCCCATTTTCTATGCTTGCACAATTGGGATCAATCTCTTCTCAGTCATGTATAGTGGTGCAGACTGTAAGTAAAGCTTCAAATATTGAGGTTTAATTTTATAATATTTTATAAGCTTCTTAATCAAACACAGAATTTTACCCCTTTTGCTTTTCAGGACCGAACTCTTCTAGAAGGCAACTGGTCTGGGCCATTACAGAAAGCTGCAGGCTAGCATATGCTGAGTTCAACCTTAGCTAGTTATCCTGTCCAAGAGGCCTGTTCACTCTGTAAATTACTAGAGTCCTTTCTTCTTAATCCACACAGGAGCGACTATTTCTGACTTGCTGCTGGTGTTCCACAACCCCCCCCCCTCAGTTGCCTGCAGACTCTGATCTGACCTCTCCCTTTCCTTCTCATGCTGCCTTCTGCTGAAACTCAGGATTCTAGCTGCTGCTAAACCAGAACATTTCCCGCAGTCTTCTAATCAAATTCCTACCAGCTAGGAGGCTCTGGGTGGATTTTTCACTCTGGCTCTCCATGCCTTGAATATTAGATTCCAGAGAATTTTCCTGCTTTCCCCTTGTCCATGACGTGCTGGCAACAAATGCGTGGAAGAGGAATGTCATATTTCTGTGCTGGAACCTTCTGAATCTCTTCAAATAATAAACTGGGTTTTGGTGGGAGAAAGAAGCTGGATTTAGCATTTTTGGTATAAACCAGGGAGATGTCATATTTACAAGGGCATTTCTGCTGGAATGTAGCCTGGTGCAACAGGTCTAAACTGCAGGTAGTTGAATTAACTTTTAAGTGCCTGAAATTGCCTTTTCCCTTCGGTGCTTAACAGTGTGCTAGAGCGACCCTTTTGTGTGTTACTTGAAATGTATATATGAATAATGAGTAAGATACCTCAGCCATAACCATCTCACCTGGAATTTATTCCCAAGATCCTCTTACCAACCTAATTTTTCTAATCCTGCAAAAATGTTCCTATTGTTCATTTTTTATTATTTTATATTAGATGCTGCTTTGACTGATTATAGATGCTGCCCTGACTGATTTGAAAATAATTAGATCAGTTGTGATACCAAATTTGTGGATCCCAGGTTTTGTTTCAGATAGGCTTTCTGTTGTTACTGGCATATTATCTTTCTCCCTTTCAGCCAAGAAAATAAGTGATGGTGTATAAAAACATTCTTGTATGGGAGAGCATTGAAGTAGTTGGCAAAATATGAGCAAGGGAAGAAAGTAAGGCCAGAGTGAAGCTGATTTAATAAGGATCAGTCAAGATATCTTGGTTTCTTTTTCCCCGGAATTACCATTTCTACGAGACACCATATTTATTAATGACTGTATTCACACATTAGTCTGGGCAAAAATGGACCTGGGTATATTTTCGTTCAATGTGTGGTGGAAACCCTATTGTCCTAGTTAATTCTGTGAACCAGAATGCAATGTAAAGCAAAATGGCTTATTAGCTTGGCATGTAAGATGAACATTGCAATTGTATTATGCAAAAAGGAGGTGAAAGGTATTAACGTCGAAAGGAATGGGGCTGCATTATCCTTACTAGTTATGAGCATATGGAACTCTACATTTATTCTTGAGTATTTTTGTATTTTTAGAAGGGGACTCTTGCTGCCGTGTTTCAAGGTGTGTTATTTTATTTCCTAGTGCTGGGCTTTGACAAAATTCCCCTCTGGGGCATCATCCTTATTTCTTCGGGGAGTGCTATTTTGTGTGCTCTCATCGTCTGGTTTTTTATCTGTCCAAGAATGAAGAAGAAAATTGAACGTAAGTAGATAAAATGTAATTGAATTTGAGGGTGATGGTGCTGAGTAGTTGAGTATTTAGATGTTATGCTTTTAGACCAGCCATTCCCAACCTTTTTGAAACCAGGGACTGTTTTTGTGGGAAACAATTTTTCCCACGGGAGGGGAGGAATGCTTTAATGTGCTACCTAGATTCATGCATGTGCAGATAAAGCTTCACTCACTTGCATGAACTGGGTTCCTCACAGGCCGCGGACTGGGGGTTGGAGACCCCTGTTTTAGATGACTGTCTACTTTAAACAGTTGAATTTAAATGTAAACAATTTGAAAGAAATGATGCTATGTTCATGTATGCTGCAAGTTGTTTTTAGTGCCAGATAACTTTACATAGTTAAAGCAAAGTCCGGAGTGTGTGTTGATCACAGCCTGGGCAGATCCAGTGTAATCTCAACTAATCAATTGCAAAAGTGGGAAGGATGCTTTCCATGCTATACTGATAGCAGTTCTGTGCTTGCTGAGGAAAGGGTCACTCAAGACTGCAGAGAGTTTATGCCTAAGATCCCCACAGCTGAACCTTGTTGGCATCTCTGTTGCCATAGCTGTCATAAAAGTAAAATAGTTCGCTGCCTTTCCGATGTGAAATCTTGGAGTTTCTAGAGCCATGCACATTACGTTTTTAGCTCTAGCAAACAATTTCCTTTTTCTTACTCCAACCCGTTCCTTTAGAATGAGTTTTCGTTTGGATCCTGTTCCAAGGCATACTTGGAAATATAAGATGGAAATTATTTTCTCATCCTAAAATATTAAGCATTCTGCAGAAGTCTTGTGACTTAGGCCACCACATGCTGCTTATATCTGGCACAGGACAATATGTAAAACTATTGCATATAACTTTATGGTGGGACGGAGGAGTTAACGTAGTTTTCAGGTATTATGGAGTGTGAATTTTCACATCCCTTGTTGTGATTTGCAGATCTGTGCTACTTGGTTAAACTTTGGATACTGGCCTTGGAATAAGTTGGGGAGGTGAATGGTTTTCTTAGTTGCAACTTGCTTATTTCTGCAGAAGAGATAAAGACCAGCCCTTCCGAGAGCCCATTAATGAAGAAAAAGAACAGTCTGAAAGAACAAGATGAAATTAAGACTACAGATAACAGCATTGCTGATGATGAAGAGAGGAGCAACACAGTTGATACTGTGCCTCACAAAGCAGCTCTTGAGGAAAGGGCCGTCTCTTTCAACTTGGGAGACCTGGAGGAGATTCCGGAACGGGAGAAGATGAAGGAAACAGTCATTGACAGTGGTGAGTAGAGGTGACTCTAGTAAGTGCCGGTGTAGGCTCAGTGGAGCTCTGCTAATGATTTAGAGAATAAGCACTTGGTAGTTATGTAGCAACTTACATGCTGTTGAAGTCAGACTGCCTACTTTATGTCTGCAGGAGCCATGCAGCTTCCCAATGGGAGTCTTGTTCAATTGAACCATATGGTGAGCAACCAGATAGGCTCCAGTGGACATTATCACACTGTGCATAAAGATTCTGGGCTGTATAAGGAACTCCTTCATAAACTCCACCTGGCCAAAGTGGGGGACTGCATGGGAGATTCTGGAGATAAGCCTCTGCGGCGTAACAACAGCTATACCTCTTACACAATGGCAATCTGTGGCATGCCTCTGGATTCTTTCCGAGTCAGGGAGACAGAATCCAAGGGAGCAGAGGAGGTAGAAAAGTTGACGTGGCCCGGAGTAGATTCCAAGAAGAGGATCCGCATGGACAGCTACACCAGCTACTGTAACGCTGTGGCAGATGCTGCCCACCCCACCGATGTGGATTTGCAGCAAGTGGAGATGGGGGCCGTTAATATGAAGGATAGCAGTTGCTCTCTGGATGATTGGCATGACCAGGACAAGCCGGAAGTGTCTCTGCTCTTTCAGTTCCTGCAGATCTTGACTGCCTGCTTTGGCTCTTTCGCTCATGGAGGAAACGATGTGAGGTGAGTGGCTGACTTGGTCTGGGTGACCTGGAGTAATTTATGCACAAGAATAAAGGTGCTGTTGGGACAGAGTTGGCCTTTGGCAGGTTACTCCTGTCCATTTATTGAGATAAAAATATTACCCAGGTTGATGGCGGGGGCTATTTTTCTTTTGCCGCTTTAGGGGTAGTTGAGATGGTTGATTGACCTGATGTGTTTTCTCTCTTGGCAGCAATGCTATCGGTCCTCTTGTTGCCCTGTACCTGGTGTATCAAACGGGCAATGTGTCTTCCAAAGTAGCCACTCCTATTTGGCTCTTGCTCTACGGAGGTGTTGGGATATGCACTGGCCTGTGGATCTGGGGAAGAAGAGTCATTCAGACCATGGGCAAGGACCTCACTCCCATTACACCTTCCAGGTAGGAGTTGTGCACGCAGGATAATACCGTAGCCTGGTGAGCCAGGCTGGAACTGAGTGGAGTGATGTGAGGGCCTCATGAGCTTGAAACTCAAGGATCCTTTGGAACTTTTCATAAACATTTTTTCGTAATCCCATTGAATTTTCTGTTCTTTTCTGATTTCTATATTGATTGCAATTTTCTTTTCTGCAGTGGCTTCAGCATTGAGCTGGCATCTGCTTTGACTGTGATCATTGCATCAAATATTGGTTTGCCTATCAGCACAACTCACTGTAAAGTAAGTAAAAAGGACGTCTGTAAAATGAATGTTAACATGATTGGTGGCAGCCATCTTGTTAAGGCCTGTGATTCTTCTATGCTCATCTCTGATTTTTCTCTAGAAAGCTCGGAAGCTAGTTCCAGTTTCATTCTAATACTTGGCTTGAAGGAGAATAGTATTTGATTCTCCCAAGTCAACTGTCCACCCATTATATTGATCACATTGGCCTTTATATTAGACCAGGGGTAGTCAACCTTGGCTCTTTTATGACTCGTGGACTTCAATTCCCAGAATTCCTGAGCCAGCTTAGCTGGCTCAGGAATTCTGGGAGTTGAAGTCCACGAGTCATAAAAGAGCCAAGGTTGACTACCCCGTATTAGACTATATGTTCTTTGGGCTTCATTGCAAGGGTTGTACTGTGTTTCCCCGAAAGTAAGGCCTATACCAACAATAAGCCCCAGCTTGATTTTTTGGGATGGGCCTAATAATATAAGCCCTATCCCAAAGTAAGCCCTAGTTTTGGGGTGAGGCACACACCTAAAACAAGCTAGGGCAGGGGTGTGGAGTTGCCCCGCACCCACTTACCTGGCAGCCAGGCCCCTCCTTGCTGGCCCACTTCTTCTTAGGCCTCTTCTGCAGCCAGGCCTGCATTTCTCACAGGGCTTTCCGGAAGGCCTGTGCAGCCAAGAACTGAGCTATGGATTCAATCCATAGCTCGGTTCTGCAAGACCTCAGCAGCCGAGGACCGAGCTATGGGTTGAATCCATAGCTCGGTACTCGGCTACATAGGCCTTCTGGAAAGGCCTGACTGCAAAATGCAGGCCCGAATGCAGAAGAAGTGGACCAGCTGGGTGGGGCTGTCGGTGCCAGAGATGAGGTAATGCCTACTCCGAAAATAAGACTCGTTGCCTCTTTTGGAGGAAAAAAAAAAATAAGACCGGGTCTTATTTTTTGGGAAACACGGTGCAAGCTTTGAGTACAGGGAAAATATGTGTGGTAACTGCTATGAATGGCATTTAGTTCCAACTGGGCACTCACTGCTGCTTTGTTAAGTTCTGTACTTTTTAATCTCTTCCAGGTAGGATCAGTGGTATCTGTAGGCTGGCTGCGCTCGAGGAAAGCTGTTGATTGGCGTCTGTTCCGTAATATCTTTATGGCCTGGTTTGTTACTGTCCCCATTTCTGGAGTCATCAGTGCAGCCATCATGGCTCTACTCAAGTACCCTATCCTGGGAGTGTGAAACAGGTGTGCTGAGCACCTGGTAGCTTTGCTGCACAAATATCTGTTTGCATCTTCTTGCCAAGTGGCTGAAACAGTGTTAGGGTGGCTCCACCAATTGCAAAAAGGGCAGAGTGTGTTATTTGTGCTGTATCTGCTTTTATGCACAACCTCTTCCTTGGAACTAGAAAAGAACTAGGTCTACAAATCATTGTGTCTATATTTCTAAACTTTTTTTATCTGGCGTTAACTTCATATTTAATGTCAGAGGTATCATTGTTTTGCAAGCTAAACACAAACTTTAGTGAGCACAATGAGGAGAATGTAAGCTAGCAGAAAATCTGTGGTGAATACCACTTTTATAAATAAAACTTTTTAAATAAAAAAACCAGACTCTGGGATAAATGTATGGGTGGGGCAATGATGATTTTATAATAGTTGTGTTCTTGATATGATGTGCTTGCAGTAGCAGTACCCAAAGTAGTTGGAGATTACAAAAATAACTGAATTAGTTTAAAAAAAATCTGCATACAATTAAAAGGCCTGTTACAAAGCAGAGAGGTTTGGATAATAAGCCTTCCTTATTCCTTTCTGAAAGAGTTGTAAGGTTCTTGTTTGGGGGAACAAGTAATTTCCAAAATCCTTTGCTAAGTGTGTGTGAGAAGAGTGAGAGATACAGTATCTTATTTAATACTTTTTTGGTACCTGGAATAATTCTTGGAACATTCAGATGAATAAATATTTAACAAACTTTGCAGGAACTGTGTTTGAAAAGTTCTGTATTATGTATCTTGTACAGTTCTAAGAATGAAATTAAATATTTCTGCCCTGTTAAAAGCCATTGGAATTTTCATTTAACCTTCAGGCTAGTTGTTGCCTCCTCTCCAAGAACTAATTTCTTTCAAGAACTATAATACTGAATTCAGATGGAATTGCCAGGATAGATTTAATTGAAAAAAAAAATTAAACTGAAGAGGCTGAATCCAGATTTCGGCCTCCTGTTTCTCTTAAGTCACAAATTAATATTTTTGTCAAAACCTGATCAATGTCTTCAAACACAAGGAATAGTTTGGCTGTGATTAATTAGGTCATTCTTGTGACTCCATTTGGTTGAAGCAGAGGAACTTTTACTGAAAGAAAATCATTGCAGCAAAATACAAAGCTATTCTTTTCCTTTCCCACACCCTCCCCCCATGACCAGCCAATGTGATGTTTTGAAAAATTTTGAGATGTCAAATTGGTAACGTTCCATTCTGGGGGCAAACGGCCTTGAAAATCCTGGTACAAGCTAGGTGCAGGCCGGTGATGGTAGACCTGACACAAGCACAAGAGATCTGGTTTTGGGGAATGCTTCTACTTTTGTAGATCAAGTACAGTTCTGTGTAAATCGGGCCGCCAAGCCCCCAGGCTGCGGCTTGGTACCGGGCCACAGCCCGTTCAGAATTGGGCTGCATAAACAGTAGGCCTGTGCACCTGCTCAAACCAATGGAGCCTGATACACTCACACAACCATTTCCTCTCCCCCAACCCGCCAGTTCGCAAAGCTGGAAAGGTTGGGGGATCACTGGTATAAATTCTTACATACTGTATAAATTTCAGATTTGGTCCATGGCAAATGCTTGAATGTGGTTTGGACCAGTCATATCCTCAAAGACCAACTCACAGGGCGGGTGAGAAGATTTAGGTAAAATTTAGAGGAGGACGGACTTGGATATGTTTGCCACCTTGCAAGCCAGATTTAAAAAAAATAAAAGATCTAGCCCAACAGAACACAAAGTTAGGGGATGAAATAGAATGAGACCTTAATGGAAGAACATCAATTTTCATTAGTTGCGAATCTTTGGGTGCAGCCTTGGAATCATTGGAATCTAGTAGGCTATATGATTTGGCTTCAGCTTCTCCCCGGTTCAAGGTTGACTTAGTCTTCCATCCTTCTGAGGTTGGCAAAATGAGGACCCAGATTGTTGGAGGCCATAGGCTGACTGTAAACCGCTTAGAGAGGGCTGTAGAGCACCGTGAAGTGGTATATAAGTCTTAAGTGCTATTGCAAGTTGAATTTTCAATATTTTTGCATAAATACGACCTTCAATGCAATATGATCTCCACATCCAAGCTCTTAAGACTACATAAGAATCTAATTAATCAAGTAAAAATTATTTTTCGATTGAGGAAAATGATCCAAAGGTATAATTCATGGCAAAAGTATGTGAACCTTTGCTTTCAGCAACTGGTGTGCCCCTCGAGGCAGCAATAACTGCCATTAATCATTTCCAATAACTTAAATCAGTCCTGCACCATGGCTTGTAGGAGTTTTAGCCCATTCCTCTTTGTTCCGCTTGGATGCTGGTAAGTTCCATGCCTGAATTGCCCACAGCGTTTCTGTAGGATTAAGGTCAGGAAGGTGCAGCTCATGTTCAGGTGCAAGTAGTCCTTGACTTAACAACAGTTTGTTCAATGACCGAAGTTGCGGCACTGAAAAATGACTTATAACCATTTTTTACACCTGCCGACTGCTGCACCATGGCTACATGATCAAAATTTAGATGCTTGGCAACCATGATGTATTTAGTATGGCTGCAGTGTCCTGGGCTCACCTTTTGTGATCCGATAAGTCAATGGGGAAGCCTGATTCACTTAACTATGTTACTGACTTAACAACTGCAGTGATTCACTTAACAATTATGATGACGAATTATAATTATGTAAAATGAGGCAAACCTCACTTAACAAATGTCTCACTTAGCAATGGAAATGTTGGTCTGAACTGTGGTCGTAAGTCAAGGTTTACCTGTAGTAGCTTTTCTAGTGTGCAGTTCTGAGAAAGGAACTTTTAGTGCCTTGCACAAATGGAGCTTCAGGCACGCGCAAGAACCGGCTGCTCGTGCAAATGGAGTTGTGCACATGCACTTGCATGGAACCATTTCCTCCCCCCCTTCCCCCAGTCCACAAAGCCAGAAAGGTTGGGGACTCCTGTGGTCTACCAGTTTCTCCCAGGCTTCTTTGAAGCTGCAGTCCAACTATGTTCTGCACCGCTTTATTGAGAAAAGGAAAATTGGAGACTGGAGAAAAATTGCCCAAAATTGTTGGAGCCAATGCTTCTCTCCCAGACTAACTGGCCAAATTAACCATCACAAAGTCCTGTTTATTTCTTAGAAGTCAAAGAAACAAATACTTCCAAGTATTTGTTGAGACAACAGGACATCACCACAGCAATTTTATACTTAGATATTCTTCACAGTAACTCGATATTCCAGCGTCATTTTAAACAGAATTGCTGACTGATTATCTAAATAATGACATTTTACAATTCTTATTGCAATGGTGTAATCCTTGACATGGACTCTTACATGTGCTCAGATCAATAGTTTTGGCAGGTCACAACACTTTCTGGGCACACCAATACAAAAATGTCAGTTATTAGCAGCAATGAGAATAAAGTTCCCAAAAGATTTTAAAAAATCTTTTCCAAAGATTTTGGAAGTTAAATCTGCTTAAATGTAAATTAAAAAATAATTGAAATATCAAAAAAATATCAAAAGGAGTTGATGAAACTCTTATTTCTAGAGATTATTAAATATTTTAATATTTCTCATTGGAAGGGTTAGCATAATTAATTATAATCAGAAGTGGTAGTTGTCTAGTTTAGACAAAACCATGACTCTGAAGAGGTTTGGATGTCAGATTCTGTGCCAATTGCAGTAATAGCATGTAGGGAATGCTGGAGAAAGAAATTGTGCTGTATATTGTGCTGGCTGTGCCCTAGGCAGAGCAGTAAATATTAGGGGTTGATGAGGAAGACAAGGGGAAGGGACATAACTATGCAAACAGAATAAATCGTTCTGATCTTCTGTTTTGGGGAAATCTTTAGCAGGGACAATATATTGAACAGCCTTTCTCTGTTTTCACAAAAGATATCATAAATCCTGATAGATTGCAGAAATATCCCCAGAATTTCAACATTGTCACCAGCATCTTGGGTTAGGAATGAAGCTTCTAGTTTGTCAGCAGTTCTCTGGATCAGAATGACCCCTGTGCTGTAATTGATCAATTGGTCTCACAGCTATTCCTCCCAGGCTTCTGACCTGGAACTCTGGAATGGGATGTTCTTTTCATCTATTCCACGAACTGGATGTTCCACCCTTCTCTCATATTCAGGTTCTGTCCATCCATTGCCCTCGTGCTTTTGGGGTCCGTTTGGGCTGGCAATGTTGATTAGCCATTTTGTTTGGAAGAGCTAGCAGGCCATTCAAGAAACCAGGCCATCCAAGAACATGGCTTTGCTGCCCATGCTTACTCAGAGAAGGAGGGATCTGAATGGTTTACCTTCATGCAAGATAAGTCTGACTAGTGGAAACATGTAGTTAACTGAAAGTTTATTTTCATTATTATGTATTTTAAATACACAATAAATATATAGAAGATATTTAATACAGAAGGTTTTCTACATTTCTATTAAATGAAATAATTTTGAATATTTATACATTCTAAATATTTATAAGCTTATGATGCATACTTTTTCCTCATAAAGTTCCTCTTGTCTTTTTCTTGTTTAGGGAGTGGGTGTGGAATGTGTAGTCCCTGGTGCTCCAGGGACTGTTTATGTTGCTGGGAAACTCAAACTCAGGTGGGGGACCTAAAGTCTCTTGTTCTCTAAGTCAGAGGTCCCCAACCTTTTGAGCACCAGGGACCGGTTCCGTGGAGGGAGGTTTTTCCGTGGACTGGAGGGGGCGTGGTTTCATGTACTGCCTACATCTCACGGATGGGGCTTTGCTTGCTTGCATGGACTCGTTTCTGGCATTCCGCAGACGGGTGCCTATCCGCGGACCAGGGGTTGGGGACCCCTGCTCTAAGTCCACCAGAAATAACCGGGTTTATGTGCCATCAAATCATAGTTGACTCTTAAAGATAGATTTTCTCCAGGAGGAACTGTTATTAACCTGGTGTCAACAGCCCCACCGTACTCCTGGTAAGAAGGACGCTGAGGCAAACAAACTCAGGAAGCAGCGGCTTTACTTTGAGGCATCGTTGGCAAACAGAACAGACTTGCAAAAAGTTTCTTGCTGAACAAAGTTCGCGCTGGGAGCAACCGCCTCCCAGCGCGGTTTAAATGCAACTGCATCATTAACACCCCACCCTCCGCCCAACTAGCCATCAACCCCATCCTCTAATTGCCCAACCAGCATCCGGCCGTATTCAATACAAATCATGGCAGCTGTCCCAACCGTCCCCCTCCCTCCTGCGCATTTGTCTGGTTTCCGGCATCCTGGGAAGCTCCGCCCTGTCGACACGGCTCTCCTGCCCGTCAGCTGTCCGGCGGGCCGCTCGTCAACTGTTCCGGCAGCCTCTGCCGCGTGGGCGCGGCTCTGAACGTCGTCCGGCGTCCCGCCAAACGTCAGCTGCCCAGCGACCGCCCGTCAGCTGTACGGCGGTTCAGACGCCACTGCCGGAGCACAGCCGTCTGAAACGCCTCGCCGGGAAGGTTGCTGCGTCGTGGAGGTTGAGCTGCGTGGAGCCGGTGCTGGCCGTCCTCTCCCCCAGCGCGCCGTCCTTCTCCTCCCCCCCTCTGCATGTCGAGCCCGGGAAGGCTTGACACCTGGTTCTTCAGGTCTCACAACGATGCACTCATTGCTACTGTCACCGAGTCCATCTCCTTGCTGCTGGTTCTCCTCTGGTTTGTGTTCTCTAGACAATTGTCTTTGATCAATTCTCAGGGACTCCATGGTAGCACATTACTATGGCAAGGACAAAGACATGCTACTTGCACAAATGGAGCTTCATGTGTGTGTGTGTGTGTGTGAGTGAGTGCCTGCTGCTCGTGCAAATAGAGACGTGCATGCACTCACCTGCCACTTGCACAGCCTGGTTCTGAACGGTCCGTGGCCCAGAACCGGACGGTGGCCTGGGGTTGGGAACCCTTGCCCTTTGGAACCAGGTCTATAAACCCTTTTGTCATAAGCAGATTGTGACCGGGTGCCTCTCCTGTCACTGCAAGCATGGCTGACCAGGATGGCAGCTCCCCTAGGAAGTATGTTGCTTCTGCCATTTAATGCAGCTTTGGGTGCTCTGTGATCCCTGTATCTGTGGCCCATTTTATTGCGGGGATTTTCCTGTGGGCAGCTATTGCTCCCTGCAAGAAGAGGAGAAAGGCAAGGGAGGGATGTCCTTCCCAGTCCATCCGATGGCATCCGCCTGCAGCTGTTCCCCAGAGTGCTCTGGTGTGGATGGGAGCTTCCCTGATCTCCTGGCAGCCAGGCCAGCTGTGCAGACTGAAGGCGGAAGGAGTCCCACTCATCTACCAGGAGGGAGCAGCTGCCTTCCCTCCCTGGATCTTCCCTGCTACTGTCAGTTCTGACAGTGACTCCTCCGAGCCTGCTGCCCAATTACAGGGAATCCTCAACTTAAGACCACAATTGAGCCCAAAATTTATGTTCCTAAGTGAGAAATTTGTTAAGTGGGTTTTGCCCCATTTTACGACTTTTCTTGCCACAGTTGTTAAGTGAATGAGTGCAGTTGTTAAGTGAATCTGGGTTCCCCATTGACTTTGCTTCTCAGAAGGTTGCAAAAGGTGATCACATGACCCCAGGACACTGCAACTGTTATAAATGTGAGTCAGTTGTCAGGCATCTAAATTTTGATCATGTGACCATGGGGATGCTGCAATTGTCATAAGTATGAAAAATGATCATAACTCAGTTTTTTCAATGCCGTTATAACTTCGAAAGGTCACTAAGCAAACTGTTGTAAGTCGGGGACTACCTGTAATGCAGCTGCTGTCTACCTGACGCTGACAAGATTGACAGCTATTTTCCAGGCAGGTGACGGACATCCCTCTGATAAGTAGATCCTCAGAGAGATGCTTATTAGAGCATGTAGCCAAAGAGAAAGATCCTGTGCAGAGGGATCCCTCTGCAGGTGGAAGAGAGTTTGTTCCATTGGAAGCCACGGGCAGGTCTCTGCCAGGAGGGAGGTAAGCAGACAAAATAGCTATGAGCTGAGGAGGGAAGGGAGCTGCAAGCCTCCAACCTTTGATTAAAGTCAGAAAGGAGAATTTTTCAAGTAACAAACTTGTACATAGTTAACATTTACTCCAAACAAATAAGAAAAGGTTAAAATTAATTTATTTTTAAACTTAAAAGTTTAAGAAGTTTAGCTAAAAAGTAAGTTTTTGAATGTATTTTTTATCTTTGTAAAAAATCACAGTTTATAAAATTTTCTTTATGACTTCTAATAGCAGATCAAGATGATAAAACATCTTAAAATAATTTTCTCATGTTCAGAATAAATTTAATGTTCTTCCATTTAAATTTCCATTGTTGCATCTCTATCACTGCATTCAAATTCTGCATCCGTTTGATCATGTCTTTACTTAATCTGTACTTTGACTTCTTCAAATGTCCCACATTATTTTTTTTATTTATTTATTTTTATTTAACATGGATTTATATGCCGCCCTTCTCCCTATAGGACTCAGGGCGGCTTACAGCATATTAAAACACATAAAACATCATCCCCCCATAAAACCTGTTAAAAACCAAATA